GGTGGGACTTCTTGACGTGGCCAACAAATTACAACAAAAAAGGCAGTGACAAAGAATAAATAATAATAATAATGATAATAATAATAATAATAATAATAATAATAATAATAATAATAATAATAACAAAAAGTTTTATTTATTTTGATATTGCCTATTATATTAGAAAAGCTTGATCTCACATGATTTTTTATAATTTTGATAACATATTAATATAGATTATTAATCATTGATTCCAGATATATCAGATAGATACAGATTATTATGAATTAAAGATACAGATTTTTATATACATATTTATTTTGAATCAAATTTCAGATTATAAAAATATATACAGATCATATTACAGATTATAAAGAATTATAAATTATAGCAAAGTCTTATATAGATGATTATAGAGATTTACTAATAAAATTTTCTTATAGAATAAAGATAAATAATAATAGAAATATGTTTACAAGTAAAAAAGAGATTCTTTATAAGTTAATATCTTTATATTTTGTAATTATTCAGTTTTGTTAAAAGATCAAGAACTTATCTTTTATATATATATATACAGTGAGGGATAAAAGTATCTGAATAGTTATCATGCACAAAGTTTAGTTATAACTACTCTCCAAAATTTCCATGTATAATATAGGACATAACACCTAACTATCAGTATCTTTATAGATTTGTGAAATACACTTTTAAGAGATCTTGGATTATAGTGAACTTTCAGTATTGAAAAATAGAGCTTTCTCTTGAGAAGTAATATGAAATTATTTTTTTACGTGAACATCCAGCTGGACCAAAGTGGAGTTTTAAGAAAATAGCTAAGCGGGTTCATTGTAGTAAGTCCACAGCTATTTATTAGATTGAAAGATACCATGAAAATAGGAACTTGAGTACTGCAGAAAGATCAGGTTGATCACAGATCATAATGATGAAGCAAGATGAATGGATTCTGATGCTGACAGAGAAGGAAAATAATATAATAGCCTGTATCTCGAAATTTACCACTTTTTGCGAATTTTTACTATAACTGGTAACACTAGACTCTACAACTCTGACCTTCACATCTCGTGATTTGAATGGTTTACCCCTTAAAAAATCACAAGTTGTGCCCTTTTTTTTGGTTTCACTTTATTTCTAGAATTTACCACATGATTTGTGTTTGTGATCTACCCCCCAACATCCTCTTCCCGAAATCTAACATCCCGGCATACCTAATTTTTCCAACAATCTAACTTCCCGACAAATCAAACTTCCCGACAAATCCAAACTTCTCAACAAATATAACTTCCCGACAAACCAGCATAAGGATCGTCCACTAGCATTTATCATCAAAATAAAATAACGGATCTTCATTAAAATGTAAGATGATGTCAGGAAGTTAGGTTGTCGGGAAGTTGGGTTGTCGGGAAGTTGGGTTGTTAAAAAGTTGACTTTGTCGGGATGTTATATTGTCGGGATATTGAATTTCGGGAAGTTGGATTGTTGGGAAAGTTGGGTTGTCGAGATGTTGGATTGCCGGGATGTTGGATTGTCAGGATGTTGGAATTTCGGGAAGATGTGTGTCGGGCAGTTAGATGCTGTCTAGATAAGTATGCGAAACCTATTTTGTAGCTGTTTTTCTAATTCTATTTATATAATAATAACTAAATGGTAAATTGCAATCAATGTGAAAAAAGACGGTAAAAAAGTTATGATAAGATTAATGGTGACGATAGAAATAAATATATAAAACCCTGTAAAATAGTCGGATATATGCAGGGTTATAATCCAGGGATTTTACACCTGTAATCTATTGTAATTGGTAACGGATTACAAGAGTTTTTCAGGGGGATTTTCCCTGTAAAACCAGGTTTTTAGAGGTGATTATTACACATTGTTATTGTAGGTGATTTTGGGATTTATATGGGTATTTTTCTCATAGGGTTAAATCAGTGGTTTTTATTTCTTTTGTGTCCAACATAAATCGATAGTGAGAGAATTTCACTCCTTGTTTATTTTGATTGTTGACATTGGATAAGTCCAACTGTTGATTTGCTTAGTGCCTTGTTAAAATTGCTTTGTGTCTTATTTTTTTTGTTGTAATTTGTTGGCCACGTCAATAAGTCCAACCCCTTCTTTTATTATTGTTGATAATGAGTAGAAATTACCCGTATTCCACCGGAATTTCGTGAATTATTAAATCCTGACCGAAAATCTCCTTCGAGCGCATTGATTTAAGCCTCTCTATCATTTTAAATAGTAGTTTTCGTAAAAGCTACCGCAGGCGACCTTTAGAGAAATCATCTTCTCGTAAATCATTCGTCCAAGCTCATCATCATTGTGCTGCGCCTTATTTTCTTCAGATTCAACATCTTTAGGAAGTAGCATAACAGTATATTCATATTCAAGAACAAAGCTCAACAGAAGGTTGTTGTACGAAGAGCGGAGATACAGCAAAGAGTATGTGGTGAAGAAATGTAAGGCGGGAACTGATGAGGTATGGATTTATCCATTTGATGAAGAAATAGATAAAGCTTGTATATATGGTGATTGAGTCATTTCATGGGTAATGAGTATATTGGGAAATAAGACGCTAAAAACTTATTCGTCTCTGCTTCAGTATTGACGATATTAATTCCCGTATTGTTCAAACATAATCATATCTGTTTTACTCACATCTTCTGGATAAATATTATAAATAGATTATCATTTAGCTTGTTCGTACTTTTCTGCGCAAAATGTTATGCGAAGTTCAGGGAAGGCTTATGTCGAAGGTGAAAGCGCTTGGAAAAAAGTGGTTTTCGTACCGAGTCATATATAAATAAAATAGCGTCCGTGGAATTTTTCTCCGGGCTTTGCTGGATAACTAGCAACATCTATTTAAATTTGATTCGAGCCATCCACCTATACTCTGGTTTTCGAAAACTAGCCGATGAATGAATTCTAAGATCAAAAGGTCCTCGAATATATTATTTTTTATGTTTCAATACACTATGCTTTAAAGCTTTGCCTTTATTATTTTATAAGTGTAATTAATATAAATATAGTCTAAACATCTTAATTTGTGGTACTAACTTTTTTGTTAGTACACAAATATAAATGAAATTTTAAAAAATAGAATTTGTTCGCCTATAATAATAAAAGGTTTCAACATAAAATTATGTAAAATACAGTCTATCTGAAAACTTAAATCTGAGAATAGCAAAATATTATTCTTTGCTCTAAATTCAAATAACAATTTTATCCTGACTTTCACCAAACCGATCCTTCAAAATTGTCACCTCCCGTTTAAGTACGCGCTCCTGAGTATTAGCTCGATCCACGATCTCATCGACTAGAATTTTATTTTCAAGAGAAAGTTGTGCGTAATTTATTGTTTGTCCGACTTTGGCCATTTGTTGTAGAACTGTAGATAGTTGGTTAGGAAGCCAGGTAACAATTGGGGAACCGCTTTATATTACAATAAAAAAATTTAGTAAAACTGCTTTAAACTTGGTGAATATTAATTAATTGAACTATAATTACCCGGTAGCCACCGGATGATTTGTATGCTTAATTATATATTCTTTAGTAAAATTCCAATGACGGTGACGAAACGCACGTATCTGATCCATGTTCGCTAGATATAAAGCTATATATCAAAAATAAGAATAATTATTCGATTTGATCCAAACTTAATAATGACAAGAAT